TGGCTTATCTATGTAATTACTCACCGAGTAACTGCTGTGCCTAAAATTTGCCCATGGAGAAAGCCCAACCCGGGCATATGATAACCTGATGCGAATTAAACGTACTGGGTGTACGCCATAGAAATAATAGCTATTATTTCTATGGTGTACGCCCGCTGTACATTCAAAATTAAACAAATGCCAGAAAACCTACGATATACTTTCTATCTTAATTGTCGGCAAATGTTAGGACCATAGCTATCAAGACTGATGAGATTCAACAAACTGCCGAATTAAACTCTAGGTGCAATATGTTTAACAGAAACATCGCTTTCTTCTACTGATTCCAGTGTTTCTATTCCTAGTTACAACCTATTTCGTAAGGAAAAGACTGGAGTTGAAATATTTGGGTATCAATGAGACCTCATAAACATTACATCAATTATTTTGGCAGTTATATATATCTATATACCATTGGCAAGTAGTGAAATCGACAACCTGAGAATATTATTTTAAAGGATCACATAGAAAAGAATCTTGACGTGATTATGTATAAATACAACCAAACGTTCTTGTTATAATGGTGATTTTAATCTCACTAGTCTACAACAGGATTTAAATCGAAGGATTAGCGCAAACGTTGTTTTCTAATGTATATAACTTAGTCACATGTATACAGAGCTCTGCTGAAAAGCACTAAAATACTGAGTGATGTAGGCCGTCTGTTATAAATTAAGTTATTATTATTATTTTTTATTATTACTAGATTGGTAATTTTCACGAATAGACCGAAGCTGTTTAGCGCAGTTGAGTTAACCGCCTAATTATCAAAACCAATATAATGACTTCTGATGGCATCCGCAAACCAAGCTAGGGCAAGGATTAGTGAGATAAAAACCAGAGATACGAGAGATAGCGCTTGGCGTGCACTGGGAAGATGGATGACACATGAGGACTGGAGCATCGTACTGGATACCATCTCTTGCGAAGATAAACGTAACAAATTAATGTCGGAACTTAATTTTGCCATCGATAGATTCTCGCACAAAGGACGGTCAGGAAACATCCAACTGATCGCCCATGGATAACAAACAAACAAAAAAGATGGTTTCTCAAACGACAAACTGTGTTTAGCCGATATGAGAAATATTCAATAATCTATAAATTTTGGAGAAACAGAGTTGACAACGCGAAATAAAAGCTGCTAAAAATCACCGTATTATTATAACCAGTGGTGGCACCAAGGAGGGGCTAGGGGGTGGGCTACAGGCCCCCTGTCGGGGAGCCTTAGCCCCCCTCCCCCTCGGGGAAAATTAATAGATTCGTCGGGGAAAACTGAGAAAAAATTGAAGGAATTCCGAAAAGCACGATCTTGTCGCCATGCTCGTTCTCCCGCATGTTATTACGTAAATTAAAGGGGCACAGTCATCAAACTTTTTGTTTTCTTAAACGAAAATGCTCTTAAAACTGTACAATAACTTGTTTTGAAGATTTTTGTTCCCATGCTTAGTTCTTGAGATATTTCATTTTTGTTTGTAACCATGTAACGTCATTTACTCAATTACATATATAATGAGATATCAGTAATTGTTGTGTATCTTTGCTATTTAGTTTTATCAAAATCTTTTGAAAGATGCCGGCGGCGGCGTTTGTTAATAGGCGATTCCAGCTTTTAGTTTATGCGTGCAGGGGACGATGGGAAGTAAGGTATCACATTGCTGATTATGCTGAAAAAATAAAAATGGTGGCCGTGTAAACACGGAGTGATAGCTTATACTTGTAAATATTGAAATATTTCGGTTGTTTCGGTAGTTTTTATTGACATTTTTCCGCATAATCAGCAA